AATTCTGAAGAACAGGAATGTTCCTGGGAAGAAACCCAGGCAGAATCACATTCAGCACAAGTCAAAGATTTCTTGCATAGCTGAAGCATGTGTTTGCAATCCCCAATTGCTGGAGCCCGTGAGCCCTGCCAACATATGTTGTTCCCTTCAGATGTTCTCAGACAGCCCTAAGTGGAGTCCAGGGCTCTCTGTGCACAACGCTTAGCTAGGGAATTCACTGATTTACCAGCCTGTTCATGGCCAAAAGGCTCTCCATGAAGGGAAGGCAGATAGGCAACCTACCCTCCCAAGAGCCTGCATTAACAACGGCCAGAGCCATTTGCCTGCAGGTCTCTAAGTGCCACAAACGGCTCCATCGTGGCCAGTACGAGCTTGCTGGTAATAACCTACCACCCTGGGCTTCAGGTAGCATCTAGGACTGGCAAACTCTATTAAAATCAGCATGCACAGCCCCAGTGAAGTCTGCTCCTAGAAGAGGAAAGATAGAACCCTTCCCGTGAGATCCCTAAGGGWTGTCTAAAAGATGCTAAAAAGCATATTTGCAAAGAAACCTTTGTCTTTGCATCATGCAGGGGCCTGCGGCAACTCCCTGGTCAAGCTAGTGCAGGGCCTGGGCAAAGAACTGGCTGCTGAAAGCATCGGTTGTCTTTCCAACGACCTTCTCCTCCAGGCTGAGCCTGCCAAGACCTGGCTCTTGCCCCTAGAGGCTCAGAGGGTCTGTGCTGACACCTCGTGTCATTGCCTAGCAGGCTCTCGATATCACGGGTGCCACATGGTGCATGTTGCACAYGCATCTTTTCCTCAGGACCTTGACCCCTCTGTTCCTTGCCTTATGGGATTTTCCTCTGTGTGGTCTCCAGTTCATTCCCCTTCCATGTGTGCCCAGCTGGACTTCAYAATTTCTTGAACATACAGTGCCACAATGAAGGCCCAGAGATTGCAGGAGAAACAGAAGAAACAGAAGGGTCTCTGAATGTCAGATTTTCGACCTTAGCAGCTCAGCGACTGGGCTGAGCACTACAGGTCTGGCTCCTTCACACTCCCACAGAAGGTTCTCCTCATCTTTACTGGGGCACAGCAATAACACTGCAGTATCACAGAGGGGCAGCAGCAGGCTCTGCCGTCTTGTCGCTGGGAGCTGATGGTTGTGCCAGCCCTGCACAGTCCTGCAGAATGGAGATGCCCTGGAGTCAAGATCTGAGACCATGCCCAACCAGTTTGGTATTAGTGTTAAAAAGAACATTAAATTGGCTTTCATAGTATTTTTTACACCAACAAATACGGTTGGACCAGAACAGGCAGGGCTCAATTGAGGTTCTTGTATCTGTGGCAGACCAGTTATGTGGAGCTCCTTGCACTACAGAGAGGTCAGAGCCCAGTGTTTTCCCAATGCCTATTACTCTAGGGGCAACCCCAAGGTAAAATCCTACTTAGATTTAGCAGAAGGGTCAGCACTTGGCTTCCAGCCTTCCTATGAGCTGGGATACTGGATTCATCTGACACAATTTATTCTCCTGGAGACTCTCATGTCCAGAGTTTTGGGAAGAGTCCATGGTCTTAGCTTTGAAGGACTTAAAAGCTAAGTTTTTAGTGTAGAAGCATTTCAGTCAGAGAAGTAGCCACAATTTAAGCAGGAAGGCTCTGGGATTTTCCAGCAGGGCTGCTTCCAGAACAGGATGTCTCTTCCCTGCTCTGGGAGACCAGAACTTCAGGGCTTTCTAGTGCACCTGGTATTCGCTTGGTCACTTACATCAGTGCTCCTCATCATCTGTGCATACGTGGCATACGAGTTGTATGGGCCTGAGCTGATGCTTGAGGACAGCAAGAAATAAAAACTTCATCAGAAGCCAGCTCAATCACCAGAAATGATGATGGATTAATTGTACTAGGGGACGGGAAACAAAACCCATGCTGTGCCTCATGATTAATTAAAAATAAGGATCAAATAAATGCTGAGGTAGGGAAAGCATTTTCTRTAACTGAGGCAGTTACTTTAATTGGAAGTGTTGTTAACACAACTGCCTGATGGAGGACAGTGCAATAGCACAGCAGGGCTGCTGCACATCTGCAGGCAAAAAGCCGACCAGCTTCAATCTGCAAATTTCTGAAGCCAAAAGAACAAGTTTAAATTTAAAACTTCTGTTGGAGCTCATGCTTCAATTGGGCTCTGTGCCAGGACATGCAAAGACTCAGGGCATTAAGAGTCTCATGTAGAAGGAAAGACGGCGGGGAGTCATTTGAGCTGGCTAGTTATGTACTGAGCTATAGTGGGATCTGCCTTCATTCCCTTTAAACTAACTTGTGGTGAGGAAATTGGGGGAAAAGTGAGATTTTATCACTTGTAATAGTTACACCAAAAGCTAGGGCTAGGCATGGCTCTGGATGATACAACCTCCATGTCCTACATGGAGACCAACAAATGGGTGCCAGCTCYGAACTGGCTCGGCCAGTTTTGGTAACTGGGCTGTCCCTGAGAGCACCCCAAATCACTAATTGACCATCATTAAAGACACTGAAGGAGCTGCTTGGTTGGCTGAAGTTTTCTGCTCGCTTTGGAGCATACTCTATCAGAATCCTTTAGCCAGTGAATAACCAGACATGTTTGCATCTACCCTTGTTCTTCCAAGAAGCTCTAAGTGCTTTATAAAGGCACGGGCAAGTTTTTCTATAATGGTGTCCTGGCTATGACACAGAGTTTCCCGGGGTACAAGCAAGCAAACAGATTCACCGAGGGCTGTGTTGTGTGTTGACACCTCAACRTATCTTCCATAGCATGAAGCAAGGCACCTTTCTGTCAATAAACGCTCAGCAAAGCAGCAAGTGCAAACTGTCAACAGTAGCAAAGTGATGCAAATGCTACAAGCATGAACACCAGGTACCAAAATTGAATGGGTTTTTGGTAATGAAACGATGCCTTTTACCATGTGGGCTTTATCCCTGCTGGTTATTGCTCCCTGAGTCTTTGCAGAGGCAGTTCTTAGATGGACAGGCTGCGAATGATCACCAGGAATCTGGGCAATCCTTCGCTGGGGCTCTTCACTGCCAGAAGCTGCTTGGAATATTCACAGTTCTTTCCCTAAATATCTGACAGATTGGACAAAATTAAAGAAATATGGGCCCTGGGCTTCAAGGCATACTGGGAAGTAACTAATCAGGCTTCCAGCTGAGCCTAACACAAGGAAGAACATTGCTAGCAATAAAGTCTGACAAACTGGGGCCATTAAATGGGTATAGGCTTACAGGGAAGCCTCCTCCTGCCATCTGGACCATGTTCATCACRATGAAAGGGAACCCAGGCACTTGTGGGGGTTTTATTTTATCCCRTGGACCTTCTCAGACAATGGGAAGAAAAAAACATCACTCCAGGGCTGGCCTTGTGGCCGCAGGAGAGCTCATATGGTCACACAGTTCACACGTGGGCAGCCCGGGGAGCAGTGAGCTCATGGGCTTACAGCCCAGTCCCACTGTGGAGACACCAACCTTGCAGCCAGGACT